CCCCCCCCCCCCCATTCTAACAACGGAGAGATTGGAGTGCCTGGCGTTGGAGGTGTGTCACAAGGCTGTCGGCCACGGTGAGTGCTGTCACTCTGCTCTTGCACAAACTCAGCTGTTCCTTTTGGAGGCATGACAGGACAGCACAGCTGTCAAGAGCCAGTCAGCAAGTCACTTCAGGAGCGGAAACCTCTCCTTAACACCCACTAGTAAGATCCAGAAAGCATCCAGGCTTGTGACTGGGCACGGGAGCTGGGACAACCCCCCAGGGACAGCAGGGCCACAGGCTCAGCAGCCCTGAGTCATCGCACAGGGGACTGCACCGTAGGGCCGCGTGGCATCACATCCAGGGTGGCTTGGAAGAGTCAAACTCTAAACGTGAAGACATTTTGGAATTACTTTATTGCACTCATATTTTCCTCTTTTATGAAAGCACAACAGAAGTGTGACTTTGAACGTCTGTACTGCGAGCCCTGGTCGGTGCGGCTCAGTGGACTGAGCACCGGCCTGTGAAGTGAAAGGTCGCCTGCTCGTTTCCCCGCGCAGGGCACATGCCTGGGTTTGCTGCCAGGTCCCCTGCTGGGGACGTGCAAGAGGCAACCAATCAACGTTTCTCTCCCTCTCTCTCTCCCTCTCTTCAAAAAAAAATAAAATCTTTTTAAAAAAAGTCTGTACTTCCAGTGAGTATAAGTAAAAGCTAAGTGATAAGAAAGCATGTGCCAGTCTAACTGGCAGCACATTCCTGCTAATAGTACCAACAGTAATGCTACAATTTACCAACAATGTCAGCTCACAGCTGCTGACACACAGCAAGCGGATCTGACCACCTCTGCCCTGGTCTGAGCCCTGCATGGTCATGGTCGCCAACGCCCCTGCTGTCCTCTCTGGCCTGTGGCAGGGAGGTGAGAAGAGCCCCCGGGAAAGGTGCCCTGGGCAGTCCTGCCTTTGCCACTTATCTGGCCTCTCTGTGCCTAGCTTTACCCACAGAAGACAAACAATAATGCCTACCGATTGGACTACCATGAGAATTACATTAATCAATATATGTGAAGTACTTAAGTGGCCTGGCATGTCACAAGCTCCTAACAAATGTTAGCTACATAACAGCCAGAGCGATTCTTTTTAAAGATAAATCAGATCATGTCACTCCCTCATTCAAAACTCTTTAATGTCAACTAGGAAGGAATGGAGGAAGGGAGGGAAGGAGGGAAGCAGAGAGGAAGGCAGCGCTCCTAAGGTTTCGCTTCCCAAAGAGATGAGCATCTAAACTCCTAGCCTCAGCCCTCCTCGCCACCACCCCCCAGCTCACTTCCTGCCGCCCACCTCCCTGCTAGCACCAGCAAGGGACAATACCTTGGACCCAACGCTTTGGCTGCAGAGTTCCTGCTGCCTGCGCCAGCCAGAGGGCAGCACCCAGCTCCCTCCATCTTTTGAGCTCCCGCTCAGATGCCTGCCCCCACACACACTGCCCAGCCTAATGTGAGGACTTCATGTGGGGCTTCATGTCCCCTCCTCCGCCATAATATGAACCCAACAAGGCAGAGACTCTGCATGTTGCGCTAGCTCCCAGGTCTCCACACCCAGAACAATACCTGGCACTGGGTACATACCTGTGGGGTGATCCTGCAAATGAAACAAAGCCAACCTAGCGGCAAGCAGGGCTTCGCTGCGCTGCCAGTGAAGACACCAGGCACATCAGAGCAACTTCCACCCCCTTCCTGCTTGTCTTCCTCTTAAATCCATCACAAAGGCGGGAGGCCTAAAACCAAAGCCGGTCCTCTTCGTACACTCCTAGATCACCTCGCATACGTACAGGTGGAGAAGAGCACCCAGCACACTAACCAGCCTACGCAAAGAGGCGAGGGTACTGATGGTCTGGGCTCAACAGCAAGCGCTGCAGCGAGGCCACGTGGAGACCTCCGCTGGCCACGGCTCTGCCCTCTCCACCCTCCATGCAGAGTGGACATGGGGAAGAAAAGCCACGTAGGGAGTGAGGAAATCGAATGCCTCCAATGGACAATTTGTAAAGGAAATTCTTACAACCAGCCTTTCCTACCTCACATACTATGAATACATTTTTAATAGGTTTTTTTTAAACCACCATGTCCATCACCAAATTACAGATTTAGAAATTCACATTTTAGAAAATTGACACCAAATAACCCCCATTAAGTTCCCAATAAAATTGGACCTCTCTAAGCTTTCCAGATTCATACTAAAGACCAATGATTTTTCTTCAAGTTTTTAGTAAGATGGGAGGTGTATAAGTTCACCTATTAATCTCCAAAGTGTAGTTTCTAGCTATCTTCTACCTATTTAATTAAGAGGCCTTGGCCCTAAGAACTGACATAGCTTGTCACAACATTCGACGGAAAAAAAAAGCCCAGCTCTTAATAAGCCTTATAGCAAAGGAGTTTTGGCGCTTAATAAAAAAAAAAAAATACGATTAGCAGGTTTTGCTACACCCATCCATAAACCTGTCCACTGCAGCACTGTTTGTTATAGGAAATACTAAAAACGACATTAAAACACATAACTGACTGTGTGTCCACTATTCTGACTCTGCGGGAAGAACGCCCTTCGTCACAGCAGCAGGGGAAAGGAGCGACTTGGGGCGGGGCGAAAGCAGGTTTTCTTATCTTTTTGTGCCTTCAGAATGGACTGTGTGCATGCTTATATTTTTAAATCTACAAAAATATTTTAATGCTATACATTTAAAATTTTTATAACTAAAATTCTAAATTTTATTTGAAAACTGCAGTACCCACAAAAGTGCTTCATAAAACAAATTGCGAGCTTCTGAACTCTTTTGATCCCTGCCTATCTGGCCCACAACTGTGTTCCGTGGCTGAAGTCAGGGAGGGCATAGCATGGGGCAGGCCAAGGATAAGTATTTATCAAATGGATTCAGTTTGCTTGATTCACTCTGTTTAAACCTACCTTTAAGCAGACCCGCGTAAGTTTAAAGAACTTTCTTATTCCAAAAATCAAAAAGCACTGGGGCTTCTATTAGGATGTATAAATTCATAGAGGAATGAATTACCCTTCAGGGCACAGAAGTTTCTGTCTATGTTGTCATTAGCTAATTCTCTCTTCGCTCCTAGTGCTGACTTCCTCAGCACATCACACCTCCAGACACATGCGGACTGAATTTCTCAGAGCTGGACCCATTTTCTTTTCCCCACTGCCCCCTGCAGAAAGGCCTCCTGTCTTTCCTCCCAAATGTATTTTTGAATTTGTTGAAGATGTAGCTTGAATGCATTTAGTCTTGGGAACCCTCAGACACCTAACAGGCATTGCTCAAAAACTATGCATTCCTTTCAAAGCAGGTAGGAGTCCTTGGCCTCCACCTCTGGGCAGAATGGGGGACCCAGCTCAGTGCAGTCTCATCAAATATTTACCAGGCCCCTGTTGCGGGTGCCCATGAGAAAGAAGGACCCTGCCCTCTGAAAGAACCCTGCCCAGAGGGGCACCTAATTCTCTTACCCCCGGGCTAAGCAGTATCACACAACCTTTTGCCTTTTTTTTTTTTTTTTTTTTTTTCCTTCTCCCTTTCCCCTCTGGGAAACCCTCAGCGAGCAGAGGAAAAAGTAGCCTCAGCCCCAAAGAAAAGATGGTAATCAAAGACATTGCCCGGAACTGCTCTGAAGACAACCCAGTGTCTTGGAAAACGTAGCTCTGGATGGCACCTTTCAAAGACATCACACACATGAGTAAATTTAAAAGGGAACAAAAATGATTAAATATTTCTAGCCCCAAAACATAATGATGACTGGATCCTCTTAATCAGAGTACTAAGAGTAAAGAGGCAAGTTTAATATCCAGCCACTCTTCCTCATACCTCGAGACTGGAACGCTAACCACTACGGTCTGTGTAGGAAACAAAATGCCTTTATCATAAGTAAAACCAAAACGGGTTGGCTAAAAATATAACTGCGAACCAAACAAAACGATAAGGGTCTCCCACGTATATACCGGAGCTGAAACACATTTTATGTTATCTGGCATGTAAATCGGAACTCCAACACGTTTTAGCGCCCACAGCCCAATTTGACACCTTCCTTCGGACAGATCCACAGCCCGGTATTTTTCCTACTGCAGATGTGAACACGTCAGAAGTCATCTCGGGCCCCCAATCGCCCCAGATTGTTCCGGATCGCTCCAGACGTCCGGCACCAGTGGGAACTTCCCCGCCCCGGGCCGCCCGCTGCTCAGAGCATCCCGCTCGGACACGGCGCCCTGCGGAGCGCGCAACCTTACCCTGGACGCAGCGTCCCCTCCCCGGGGGCTCCCTCTCCTCTCCCGGCAGCTCAGAGCATCCCGCGCAGACACGGCGCCCTCGGGAGGGGACGCGGGGCCAACCGCGGCGCAGCTTCATCCTGGGGGCGCAGCCTCATCCTAGGACGCAGCCTTATCCCGGAGATAGAGCCTCCCCTCACACCGGACGCAGCCTCATCCCCGAGCGAAGCCTCCCCTCCCCGGGGCAGAGAATCCGGAGCCGACGCGGCACTCCCAGGGTGGGGACGGGGCTGTCCCCGGCGCAGTCTTCCCTCCACGGGGGCGCAGCTTCATCCCGGGGCATAGCCTCATCCAGGGATGCAGCCCCCAAACCCTAAGGCGCAGCCGCATCCCAGGGCGCAGTCTCCCCTTCATTCCGGGGGCGCAGATTCCCCTTCTCGGGACGCAGCCTCGTCCGGAGGCACAGACCCCCTCCATGCCGGGGCGCAGCCTCCTCTCTCGCGGCGCAGAGCATCCGGCGCAGACGCGGCTCCCCGGAGAGGAGAGGCGGGCCGTCCCGGGCGCAGCCTCATCCTCGGGTGCCGTCTCCCTACCCGGGTGACCCGGCCTGCAGCCCCTTCGGACACCCAGCCGGCAGCACTGGGTCCGGCTGGAGCAGCACTCCCAGCCTGGCCTCCCCACCTGCCCCGCGGCGCTTACAGAAACACGGCTACGGCGGCTTGTGTCCGCTCTAGGTGTCCGACCCCCGCCCGCCCCCGCCTCACCTCAGTCGCTGGCTGCTCTGCTCCGCGCGCAGCGCCGGGGCTCGCACCGCTCAGCCGCCCGGGGCTGCGGCGCGCGGGCCATGGCCTGGCGCGGCCCCGAGCGCGCCCCCGTGCGCGGCCCGATAGGGCCGCCGCAACAGCCTCCGCGTCCGCGCACTCGCCTCAGCCGCGCGCACGCCGGGGGGCGACGCCGCGACGCAGGACGTGCGTTTGCGCGCGCACACGCCGCGCCGAGCCGAGCCGAATTCTGCCAGTGGTCGTCAGGGGCTGTGGAGCGCAAGACAAGGCTGGAGCAGGGAAAGGGGTGACCTACGGGGATGACAGTGACCTAGCTTGGGAGGCTGGGAGGTCCCGCTGTGAACTGGAAGTTCACATGCATTCTGGCCGGTCCACATTCCCGAGAGCTCTGGGTGTGCAGTGAGAAATCGGGGTCCCCACGTTCCAGGGGTCTCCCCGGTTTCCCTGTATCACTCTCAGTGACACCGAATTAACGAAGTTAATGTGGTTGTTGAGTTGGCTGGTTTTGACAGTAAAGGCATTTTAAAGCCTTTTTACAGTGATGCAATAAACTTACTCCTGCATCTATGCTATACGGTTATACACCAAGAAATGTTTACATGCAACAAGCATATGGGGAAATGCACTTCTGAAGACCAGAATAACTCAAGGGTGCAGTTCTGTTCAGAACAGAAAATAAAGTTTAATAAAGAAAAACTTGAGCACAAATGCTGAGAGCAGAAGAGCAAGTAATAAGCCACAAGCAGTTCGTTTTTGGATGATTTACTAGGAGAACTCGAGGAAGTCAACCTTAAAAATAAAATGGCCAGTTATTTTACCAGGAAAATTGATTTACTTGGGAATATTAGAGGTGTTGCATTTTGGGAATGCAAACTGTGGGGAACCACAAGCAAGTCTGGAGAACAGAGGCAGGGAGTGTTACTTTACAGAGAAAAAGGAGGAAGTTCGGAGCAGTTATGAGCAGAAGTTCATTGGACGAGAGTGAGAGTTCAGGGTGGTGGTGGCTCCTCATTGGCTGAGTGTGGCAGTCTCTCATTGGCTGGACTATTGCTGAGTAAAGAGAAAACCTTCCTTCTGCCTCCATAGTAAAGTGGGCTTTTCCTGCTGGGGGCTATGAGGAAACTTCTTTCTGCTGGAGTCTGCAGAGGGCACTAAGTACTCTATGAGGGCCCCCACTTCAGGGCTTCCCACCTCTATTTTAATGAGGTTTTCTTTATTCATTTTCATGAAGGATGGAGAGAGGGTTGGGGCACGGCGAGCCTGGGGCAGGGTGGGGGGAGGGGGTGTAGAGGCTATACTCCCAGTCCAGCCCAGCTGCTGCCCCTTGTCACCGAGGGGCCTTAGGCATCTCTCAGGACCTCTGCCCCTTTCCTCGAGTGTGCCATGGAGAAGACTCAGAGGTAGAGAGGCCGGGACGTGGTCAGCACTCCATCAGTGTGAGCTACTCCTCTTATTCAGGAGTCGTGTGACAACTGAACGTGACATAGAAACTCAGTGACCAGGAGCATAAATTAACCACAGGGGAAAGTGTTACAGAAGGCCAGTCACTTGCTTCAGGTTGCTGTCTGAGGGAAAGGAAAAACCTGTCTTTGGGGTCAGCCAGTGAAAGAGCCCATGACCCTGCCTGAAAGCCAAGTGCCAGCTACAGTATCCAAGGGCCACTGGTTGCCAATTAAGTAAATGTCAAGACTCCTGGGACACCCACTGGGGAGTCATCCTGAATAAGGGAGTATATGCTTGAGGACCTTATTTGTGTGTAACACACACGCCAAAACTAAGTGGCTTAAAGCAGTCATTGGATTGCTCACGATCTCGTGGGCCAGCAGCTGGAGCAGCTCAGCTCTGCTATTTTGGGGTGTGGGCCGGACCTTCTCATATGAGCCACCGTCAGGGACCAGGTGGACCATGTGTCACCCGCCATCAGCAGGCTGGCTAGGGTTTTTCTCACTGCAAAGCTCAGTGCACAAGGCTTTTCCAGCCTCTTCACCACGTTTACTAAAGTCCCTTTGGCCCAAGCAAGTCACAACGGGACACGTGACTCACAAGAGTCTATCCCTGTGGCCATTTTCCACGGTCTTCATTTAATGTCGTTTAACTCAGGGAGAGCCACGTGACCGCCCTTCAGTTGGAGCTGGAGGTGTGACTCTCATCCTCTCCTCCAGCAGCAGTGAAGAACAGGTACAGTGTGACCAGGCCCTTCATGCTGCTCCTGTCAGCTGCTCTAGGGACTGGCAAGGAGCCCAGGACAGCCTCTTGTTATTATACTTCCTCAGACCCCTCACCTCCACAAACAAGCTTATCATGGCCTTCCCCGACTTGGATGAATGGCACACAAAACATGCCTCCATATGCTGATCTTGCAGTAACATGGAAATGGAAAGAGGATGTTTTAGGAAATAGATTGAGTAAGACCTGGTGACAGATTGAGTGAAGGGGTATGGAGAGGAAAGGATCAAGACTCACCCAGGAATCTGGCTGCGTGTGTTGGAGGTGATGGTGTTATATAATGAGGTGGGAAAACGCTGAGAGACGACTGGGAGAAGCCAGGATATCCTTCTGGCTGTGTTGGGTTTACCATGCCAACCAATGGCTGTGTTAGGAAGAGAGCTGGATGTGAAAGATGGGTGTGCAGGAAAGAGAACAGTGCTGGGGATGCATGTTTGAGAGCCATGAAAATAGAAATAATTACCTAAATAGAGAGGAGGAAGAAGAGAGGAGAACTTGGGCCCAGACCTGAAGAACGTCAACCATTAGAGTGCCGGACACACTGTGAGTGAGCAGAGGAGACTGGGGGAACCCAGGGAAGTACAAGGGACACAACAGGAGAGAGTGTTTTAAGAATAAAAGATAAGTCAGTAAAATGATAAGAGTACAAATTAAAGTGAGGGCAGAAAATCCATTGGATGTGGCAGAAGTCATTGTGACTTTGAAAATTCAGTGGAGCATCAGGGACAGGATTGACTGGAAGAGGCAACACTCCCCATCACATATTATGATGCTAACATAACCTTGACTTCAGAATCTAAAGGGGAAAAAATATGAACCAACCGCTCATAAACAAAATCTAAATAAGTTATCATAAAACCCTAAACAGAGAATGCAGCAAAACAAGATCAGTAACATATAAAATTATATCGACCAAGATATTGAAAAGAATATACGACCAAGAATATAAATAAATAAAAATCTTTTTTTAAAAAAAGAATATATGACCAAGACTATAACTCTGGTTTAACACTTAAAAATCTGTGAATGTGAATCACCTCATCAGCAGATCAAAGAATACCCGTGTGATCCTCAAGAGCTGCAAAAAAAAAAAAAAAAAAAAAAAAGCTTTCAACAAAACCCAGCACCACTCATATTGAGAAAAACAAGCCCTTAGGAAACCAGGAATAGAAGGAAACTTCCTTAGCCTGATTAAGGGTGCCTACTGACACCTAAAACAAACATCAAACCAATGGTGACATGTTAGAAACATTCCCTTGAAGTTAGGAACAGAAGAAGGATGTTCCTCATTACGATAGAGCCTAAACAACAGCCCCACACAGCAATGGGATAAAATGTAGAAAGCGTGGAAGGGGAAAAAGAAAAATCACAGGTAATATGATTACATATGCAGGAAATTAAAAGTAATTTAGTGCTAAATTGTTAGATTTAATAAAAATCTAGCAAGATTACTGAGTATAAAATGAACACACACACAAACCAATTTCTATACATCAGCAACAAACAACATGTAATTTAGAAAAATCCTGTTGACAAAATTGCAACAAAAGTATGAGTTAAGAATACATCTAACAAAAGAAGTACATGATCAGTAAGGAGAAAAGTATTTTTAAAAAATTGTTGAAAGAGCAAGAGAATGTAGAGATGCATCATTTTAATAAATAAGAAGACCTCACAGTCACAGAGAGGTCACATCTCCCTCAAATTACCTGTAAAGTCAATGGAATTCTGACAGACTTTCCAGCAGGGATTTTTGTGCATGTTGACTGATTCTGAAATATATAACAGGAAGGCAAAGGACCTAGAGGAGCCAAGATACTCAATCCTAGAGAAGAAGGGATGGGACTTGCACCAGCAAACATTAAGACAGACTTTAAGTGATAGCCGATTGAGCCATTTGTTACCGGCCCAAGGATGGACAAATTGACCAATGAAACACAACAGGAGTCCAGAACAGACCACACATATTTTTATGTATGACTGATGAGGTACTGCAGATCAGTAGGGGGGAAAAATAACTTTAGTAAATGACGCTGGGACACCTGTTTCTCTATTTGTGGGGGGAATGGAATTAGGTATGTACCTTGCACCCTACTCAAGACTCAGTCCCGATGAATTAAGGAAGACAAAACTTTTAAACTTTTAAAATATAGGCAAATATCTTTATGACTTTGAGGAAAGAAGATTTCTTAAGGTTTAAAAAAAGTGCTAACGATATAAGATTAAGACTGATAAATTTGCTCATAGTAAAATTAAGAACATCTGTTCATTATAAGATATAATAAAGTAAAATGACACAGTAAATAGGGAGAAGGTATTTACAATACAAATAGCTGTCAGAAGATTTGTACCCAGGATATGTGAAGAACTAGATACCTAGTAAGAAAAGGCAAACAACTTAATGAAAAAATGGACAAAAGACTCGAACAGCAGAGGATGTATGAATGGCCAATCAGCACATGAAAAGATGTTCAACCTCATCAGTAATGGGAAAATGCAAGCTCGGGTCACAATAATACTCTTTTACACCTACCATGTCGGCAAAAACTTAAAAGACTGACAGTATCAAGTGTTGGAGAGGATGTGGGTCACCAGAATTCTTAAACCTTGCCAGGAAGAGCTTAAATTGCAGCCACTTTGGAAAACACTTTGTCTCATAGAATCAAATATTTGTGTAACTTCTTAGCCAATGATCTCTCTCCTAAGTACACACCCAGGTAAAATACTTCCACATGCGGTCAGAAGACAGGCAGCAGCTGTGTGTAATGGCTGTGTTCACAATATCCAGCTACCCATTTACTGGGGAAAGACAAACTCATCAGGGTAAATCCATGCACTGTACACATTGTGTAATGGCGAT